TTGCAATTGATGCAGTCATGAATCTGTGATACAATGCTTGGCGAAATAAGTCCACAAACGTTATTATTTTGGGATTATATTAAGGTTTACGGTTGTAAATTGTAGCCTACAACACTCATGACCTTCAATGGAAGCCAATACGTAGGTTTCATCGCTATTCTTTTAGTACATTAATAGATTATCGCGCTGTAACGCAACGCCCTTGTGTATTTATATATTAGTATATAATTAAGGGTTTTGAAAGATTTAGGGTCGTGATTAAAAAAAGGACCTACTACTTGTAAAATACAAATACGCCCGAAATACAACACAAAGCGTTCCTGGCATTTAATAAAAAAATATACATTTGTTTTCGCTGTCACCGTTCGAACTATGAAGAATGAAACGGAACTAATCAAAACCATTAATCACAACCCAATTTAAGAGACCATTATTTTAACAAAATAATTTGCCTTTACTTAATGTGCGTATACTAATAAATTAATTATATCTTTGCAGAAAAAAGGATTTTAACTCTCGATTCTGTGGTAGTGCCAGAAATAAATATAAAAACTCTAGTGGTAAAAGTGACGCGCCACAGTAATCAAACTTCAAATATTCGTGGAAAAATAATGATTTTTCTGCATTAGAATGACAGAATGTTCGGTAATATCCTGGAACTATCCCCATTTCAGACCAAATTGATTAGCTACAAGCTCCCTTTTTAACTAATACTACAGTTTCGAACTTGAGCTCAGTTACAGCCTTACCATCTGAAGTGAATTTCATTTTTAATTTATTTTTCGAATGGATTTTCCTGGCCATTTTCCTTTTACAGGACTGTCATATACATATTTCAATTTAATGCTCCACCCTATCACGTACTTACGAAGTATTGAATAAATATGTACCCGTACTACGATCAATGAATAAAGTCATTGTTCTGCAGTTTATGTGACGAACTAATTCGAATTCCGCCTTCTTCAAACTCTCTCACTTCCGTCGTAGAAAAATACGGCTGACATACACTGCTACAGAATGTTTAACATTAAAACGAATCTGCCAATGACACTTCTCAAACTATCGGCATACGATTCTGATAAATGAGTAAATTTTAACATTTAGAGCATTTGATATTCCAGCCTCGTAAATATTTCAAAAATTGCTAAAGGTTACTTACCAGCACACGGTTGAACAACGTGAATTCGGCAAATATGATGACGTAGGTATCCTGAAACACAAATTGGAAATCATAAATATATATTTTATATTTCGGCATAGTATCTATATATTTTAATTTTTCCTCCAAAAACATTCTCTACGACATACAGTGTTTTGCATCTCTGTAAACCTTGGGTAATAAAGATTGTTTTGAAAATTAAAGGTCTTATGTGACTGATTCGAATTACTTATATTGCTCGATTTTCGTGTTGATAACAAGAGACATCACAAGATGTTACAAAATAGAACGATTTATTAACATATTGTAAATAATAGTTATTTATTTACGTCAGAAACAGTTAAAACTGTATGTGGCGTGCTATGGGGAGAGGTTAAATTGAAGTTATCTATATATATATAAAAGAAAGTCGTGTTAGTTACTCCACTTATAACTCAAGAACGGCTGAACGGATTTAAGCTGAAATTAGGCAGGGGGTAGTTTTTAGAGCCAGGAGAAGAACATAGCGGATATTTTAGTATCGTTGCCGTTCTGATCAGCATTTCCAGTGTGATTGAGCATGAACACGTCAGTCACTATTAAAGTGTATACAGTAATGAGAGTGCTGGGGAAGCAGTAAGGGAAGATAATCTGATCGTGTGGAGAACAAAGCGCAAATGCAGACAGGGCTATGGGCAAATTTGAGTATAATGACAGGAATTGTAAGTTGGCGTATCGGATGGACAATGACTATGGATATTTGTAGAAAACTTCTATAAAAAATACATAATATATAAAAAACAGCAAAACGTGCATTAGAAGACTTAAGCGAACATTAAAGATTTACGCAATCGACTCGAGATGTTTTGGGGAAGCATGATTTACTGTCTGGCGATTTCTCGCCAAATATGCAGTAATTCCGAGATCTACGGCTGCACGGACGAAATAAACGCTTCCCGTCATTCGTAACTCTATGGGCTATGTGAAGAACGCACTGCACACACATGAGAGTTTACATTGCTTAATGATATATCTTGCTGAGGATTTCTCGGAGCAATTGCTGACTATCGGTAATGGTCAAGTACTGTCAATAAATCGAGCGGATTAATATCATTTTCTCGAAATAATTTTGTAATTTTGTCTCATGAAAAAGACGAACTTATCACAATGTATTGTCCCAGAAATTATTTTAACTTAAAATAATAAATGGGTTGAGTGAGCGAGCATTTTAGCGGCTAAGAATCAAGATGTAGATGAACTAAACTACTAATTCAAAATAAGATATTGGAACAATGCATTTCATTAAATTATTGACTGCGTAAAATGAAAGATGAAGCAGACAATATCAATTGAATTTTTTAACTCTTTGGTCGTGTGCTTACAGCAGCAATTACGCCCTGAGGTTGGTACGTAGTAATCATGCTTCGTAAACCCCATAAACAACCAAAACTGTGCAACGGTAACGCGTTTGTGGTTAGAAAATAGGGGGGGGGGGCGGGGGGGTGATGAACATGTAATTTACGTACGATAATGATACGTAAAATTCAAAGGTGAGGAAGTTCTCATTCCGAGGATACCGAGACTTAACCAATATGTCGTTTGAATTTAAAAGATTTCAATTTCCCGGTATGTGTTGCATTTGCCACAGACCATCAACAAATCACAGGCCAATACCTTAAAAGTTTTGTGGTTTAAAAATCTAGATAAATTCATTGTTTTTTCCATGTCAAGTATACGTGGCCTGTTCAAAGGGACGAGACCATTGCGTTGTTTGTTTTTGCGCCTGATATAAAACAAAAAATGTCCTTAAAAGGTATTTAAAATTTTTTTTTTGAAAAGGAAAAAAGGCAACTATGTACTAATCCAGAAATATTAGATGATTAATGTATGTTTATTTAATTTTTTTTTTGTTTTTTTGATTAAAAAAACTGCTTATTTATTGCCATTAAGGCGGAACAAAGTTCGCCGGGTCAGCTAGTATTAAAATAAAAGTAATGAATCGAATTATCTGTTGTTAAACATACATGTGCGACATAAATATACATTAAAACAACATAAAAATACCTATCTCATCTGACTGCATGTAGCTATTCTTGAAGGGAATTTTCTATACCTGTACTTTACTAACTGCTATATTAATAATTGCAAATAACTCTCAAACATATTTGCACGGAAGTAATCGAATTCATGGAATGCGGTATAACTGAGAAGCAAAAGAGATTTTCCGGCGAGCTAGTAACCCCTACGATACTCAATTTTTCTCCTTTTGTCCATTCGAGCATGAAGGGGTATACATCAAATTTCATCATTGAGAGAGGGAATACATTCGGACCTCTCGTCGATCGCCCACTTATGGACTCGTACGCTCAAAATGGCAAAGCACTGGCGCACGTACAAGCGACCGGGTAGAGCAGGTGGGAGGGGCTGAAAGGGGGTGGGAGGCGACGAGCGGAGGAGGGAGGGGAACGGTGGAAGGGTTGGGCTTTCGCTCGGCGAGTGACAGGCGAGTGAAAAGGCAAGCTAGCGACGTGGACACGGAGAGACTGTAGGTGGACATAACCGCGAAGGGGCGGATGTGCGGTCTGGCGGGGAGGAATGGGTATGCACGGCTAAAGGAGAACGGGTTGGAGTGAAGTGGAATTGGGAGGGGATGGTGAGGGAGAGTATGGCGGCGAGTGTCAGGGTATGGGCAAGGACGAGTTGAGGCGACGTAAGGTGGAGGTGAGGTTACGTGGAGGTGAGGTTAGATGAAGATCAGGTTAAATATGGGTGAGGTTAGGTGAAGATGAGGTTAGGTTACGTGTAGGTGAGGTTAGGTTACGTGTAGGTGAGGTTACATGGAGGGGAGATGGAGGGGAGATGGAGGGAAGATGGAGGAAAGATGGAGAGGAGGTGGAGGGGAGGTGGAGGGGAGATGGAGGGGAGGTGGGGTGAGGTTACTTGTAGGTGTTACATGGATGTGAGGTTGCGTGGAGGCGAGATTACGTGGAGGTGAGGTTAGATGAAGGTGAGGTTAGGTTAGGTAGATGTGAGATTAGGTGGAAGTGAGGCGAGCAGGAAGTGAGGTTAGGTGAAGTGTAGTTGAGGACGAGAGAGCGGACGAGTGAAGAGGAATGAGGTCAGGTTTGTCAGCCGATCGAGTGTCCACGCAGAGATCCGGGCGCCCGAGTGGAAAGGTCGCAGGCTGGCTCGTTCGCAGAGTCGATAGGACGGAATGGGGTTGCAAGAGCAGGTCGAACTCATTGAGCCTTCGTAGCTGTAGTAAGTGGTGCTCACAATCTCTGAAACCACTTCTGAGTTACCACAGAAGGTTGTTTTTGGAAAGAACGTCCGCAAATATAAAAATATATATAACATGCGGAACCCGCCAAATATTTTTCATTTCCCTTTCTATCTTCGTTCTTCTACCATCACTTTGTGTGTGTCCCTCTCCCCCGTCTCAACCCTCACTAAGCAAAACTGTAATAAAATGTTTATTATGTATATTACGGTGTGAGATACGTTTCTTTTGTGTCCTATGGTCATAATATTTTAGTTTTTAATGTCCTAGATAGCTTCTTTTTGGTGGTATTTAACGATATTGAAAAATCCCTGCCAAAAACGTGTGTTGTGGATTGCATTTTACATAGTTCAAGACAAGTCAGAATATAAATATATGTATGACTTGTCCGTATTGCTCACTTTACACTGGCACGATAATACCGCACGACAGGTCGTTACTAAAGATGTAATTTTTTTGTCTTTCCCCCCAACGAGAAGGTAAGGATTGAGGACAGGGGTCTCCTCGTGTTGTCTGTGCCATATGAAGGAAGGATAACGCACTATGTTATAACTAAAACTTTAATCAACGAATGAGTATTTGCATTCAATGCTACATGATCCCAACACAGTTATACAGTTTCAAATATTGACCTTTCCAAAGTGAATTTAAATTCCAACCATCCAATATGCAATTTAACAAAAATATTCATTTCGCTGCATCAATGACATCTCTCAACAATAATATTTATATACAGGAAACAAATCAAAACATACTATCAAATTAAGCAGTCATTGATATGCAGTTAACACTAACAAATTATGAATTTACAAATAATTCCCGTATGTTTTACCTTTCAAGCGTGGATTGAAATTCCAACCATCCAATATACAATAATAACAAATTCTTTACAAGTGCGTATGAAAGTTATCTCTCCACAATACTAATATAGAGGAAACTCATCAAAATTTCTAACAAATTATGCTGTTATCACGAACCTGATGTGCAAATAATGCTAGAAATTATGCATTACAACAACTCCCAAATGCTTTATCTTTCCAAAGTTGATCAAAATTCCAACCATCCAATATGCGATGTAGCAAAAAATCTATACAATATATCAATGGCATCTCTGGAAGTAATATTTATACACAGGAAACTTATCAAAAATATAAACATATCTTGTTAAAAAAACATAACAATAAAATATTAACTCCCAATTGGCACTATTGTCACCCAAACACTAAACAATGCATACAACGTGATTGATAGCTTGTGTACATCATTGCAAACGAGAATTTGATAATATCATGTATCTAAAGTTGAGGTTACAACAATTTTATGATTCCACACATTATTTTACAACAACAATCTAAAGTTTGAGAATATCCTTCATTTTCATGAGAAAGTATGATATTTCTTCAGCTTGTAATTTGATAATAAAATTATTGCCGATTTCAATCACCAATGCCTCAATGAAGTTGTTCTAACCACTATTAATAGTTTCATTATATTGTAAAGCAGCTTAATTTGTTCTTGATCATGATATATTCACAGTTGGCGATACGTTCCAACATCTAATGTCTCTCGATTAGAAAAGGTAATTATCTCAACGACTAACCTCAGATGTGCTTAGTGGAATCGGGCACGAAAGTTTAACTAATTGTGCAAAACTATGCACAGATTAATTGTCGTCGCACATTCCTTAATGTTATACTGTCTCCAGCATTCGGACGTTTTTGGAACAACGATATACTGCTTTTTAGTATTTCACTATTCATCACACATTTGACCTCACAACGCACGATCCATTACTCTCCAAACTTAGCGGCCAAATCTTTTCTCGCTACCCCTCTGGGCACTTGCATCCCTCTGGGCACTTGCATTAGACTCGCGCACAAGACTTCTCTGAACTATTGCGCCATCTATCCTTCGCTGTATCAACTACGATATTTAAAACTGAATATTTAAAACTAATAAAAGATTTAATAAGATAACTTTAATAAGATTTGGTCTAAATCAGTAGCATAGGATTCTTTGAAAATATGGTATCACTTTATTGTCAAGACGACCAGGAAAGAAGTGGAATGTGGTTGAAGACGAAATGATCCCACGTTTTTTGAATGCTAATGTAAAAAAGACTGCTTTAATGTAAGCCAATGATGTGGCCTTAGTAAACGATGGAAGCGCCTGATTAGCGCTCGTTTGTACTAATTTTCCTCCAGACACTAAAAGGCGTCGACTTAGCTAGTTACCTACAAAACATTTTTAATACATAAAACAATATAAATGTAAATTAATAATTCCAACTTTCTTTCTTTATTATTACCGGCTCTGGTTACTCAGTTTCAGCATTGTTGTGTGCGCGGAATCGTTGATCAGTTGGTTTTAGGATCACAGCTCCGATGACGGCAATTTTTTTTCAGTTCTCATAGCTCGATAGCTCGGTCGAATTCACTCTCTCGCTGAAGAAGAATTCTAGCGGTTGGCTCCTCTAAACGGTAATTTTCTGGAGTTTCTGCCATCATTTCCAAGGAGAATGCCGGAGCACTACCTTAACAAAGCGCGCGTCATCATTCCTTCCCCATTCTTGTACCACTCCTCTTTCCGTATATGGATACATTGATATATACACACACACTAATACACCTTACACTACCACTCACGGAGGGAGTGTCAAGCACTAGGTGTCATGTAGTCAGAAGCTTCGACGTTTTCCTAGCGAGGGTCGTACATGATATCACATATCCGAGAAGGATGAATATTGCCATGTCCCGGAATATAGCATGAATTGTATTTACGAAACTATCGACCTCAGTAGTCGACACTCTCAGAATCAATAAATATTCTCCACTATTATTTATTAGAAAAATGTGAGTCTCCAATCACAAAAACATCTCAAAACTTGCAGAATTTTTGACATAATCTGCACAGCCAAATCGAATTCAGCCAAAATCCGAAGGAGAATTCTAGTGATCGACTGCTTTGATCGGTAGTTACCCGTAGTTTCTACGATCAACACCAGGTGAAAGCTGGATCAGTACCCCAAAAAACATACCGCACGCAATCTTTCGATCTTGGTTCCTGTTCTCTCCTCACTCCTTACTTGTACACACACACGGTCGAATTGGCACTTGCAAGCAACACAGCACCACACATGACGGGCGACCAATCGGGAATTAGAGCTTCTTCCAGCTGAAAAATTCTCGCAAGCCGAAGTGTAGGTAAGCGCGGGATCTCACCAAACAACGGGGAACGAACACATACCCCCCGTGAGTAAAACATGCACTACATCTACTGACAATAGCAGTCGACTGGCCCGGAAACACAAAGTAATCAATCATAGAAAATACGCAAATGCAGGCGACTATCGCCAGTATTTGACCTATTGTGCGCCGCTCTCGCAGGTGCAGCTTCTGACGCTGCGCAAAAGAGGATTATGCCTCGTCGCTGGAAGCGCGTGCATCGGGCGTCCGCCGGCCGAAAAGGCCGCGACCGGATTCACGCGGATTTTGCAGCCGCGACGAGCCCGGCGGTCGCAAAGCTTCATTACCTGCCACGGGTACTTCATGCTGCTGCGGGGAGGTTGGCAATTCGCTGGCACTAATGAACCGTCGGGTCAGTTTAACCTCCCGTTCGAGGTTGTTGCGGTGTTCTTAGCAGTACTTTCCTCGGAATTGGATTTGTGTACTTAAAGTTGAGGTAGGTACACACAATATATGGATGGATTCATTGATTGGTTTATAGGAGGTCAACTGCTATAGCTTTATATCGGGAGATGACGGTAATTCTATCACGTTGAAACGAAGGATTCGGTGCTCTCACCTTGCCAGTGTTTTCTTCCTGGTATCTCTCCCAGCGGGACGACGGCCAAAGAGACAGCACACGACTGGTCTCTCAGTTCTATGGGAATGTGGTACGTATAGAAGTGCGTGTTAAAGAGAAGCGGTGAGGACGAGAATGAGGAAGGAATGATCGCGCCCTGTCCTTGGCCGTTTGGTAGGATACAGCTTCGGACTTCTTCATGAATTGATACTAAAGATGACGGAAAACTAGCGATCAGAACATCCGGCCATTAGAATTCTACTCCAGACAGTGTACGAACTCCTAAACCAGTGTACGAAGACCTAAATTATTAGATAATATAATAAATTCTCCATCGTTGAGACTCTAGCCCTTTTCGATCTCCCTGGAGAGTCTCTGGAGTGCAAACAGTTGTTACCCTTATCTAAATCTGTAAAAACTATTGACATTTCTCTGGGATGTGAGAATTATGTGTTTAGAATTCTTCGTCAGGTATTTTAGCGCAGTAAGTATGGGAGCAACCGCGATCTAGGATATATGATTTATAATCTCAGCACGAGCATTAGTGTTGCTTAGTGTTGACGCGCAAGGGGTCCAATCTCGACTACTATGTAGCGCCGCTCACCTTATTTATTCCTAGTGTTTTTGCCAGCAAACTTTATTTATTCCTCGTCTTCTCCTTGCTCTACCATTGAGTATATTGTTGCTCGACCGTGCTCCTTGCTCGACAATTCTATACAACTTTATTGCCTGTAGCAGATGCTTCGTATTTCTGCGGAAAGGTTGGTTACTTACTGGTACTGATGAAACATTTAGTCAGTTTAAGAGCGATATCGTGTATGGCGTGGTCTGAATAGTACTAATCTTGGAATTGGATACTAAGGTAGTATAATTTCTATTGACTATTCAAATTTACATGACATTGCTACTGGCGTTTCAAATCTCTGGTATGTTTAACTTCAGGACTTACACTACTTTCCCTGGAAATAACGGAAAATCAAACTTGTAAAATTTGGAACAGTTTTCATGATGAAAGTATGTGTGATGATAAACTTCATCCTTCAGTATCAGAAACATTTAAAAGAGCTCTGACAAAATAAAGATCTCACCACTTATCACTTGCAAATGGGTTACAAAAATGCTCCTTCATGCGTCTTTCAGAATACATTTAGAGTTTAATTATTTATTATTTTTAATTTTTAGAATTTTTAAAATTTCTTGATTTGTGTTTTTTATTTCATTAGATAAGTAAATAATATTTTACGTCCCGTTGAATTTTTGGCGTCCCCTATGTCTTGTATCGTTTTATTCTTTTCACGATTTTTTAACGTTTCTCACCAGAAACTCACCTAAACACACCAGCATGATTATGTAAGACTAGTATGACTAACATGACGAAGTTGCATACAAAATAAAAACAAACTTTATTTAGATATTTTCAGTCCTAATGCGCTGCAGTGCTGAGAGGTTAGAATGGTAAAACAACCCACACTCCAGAAATTATGCTAACGTTTGCAAAACCAGTAAAAATATAAACCTTATGTTGCAAATAAGAACCCGCATCGTAATTATTTAGATCCTGTGACGATTGCGTCGGGTGGATTGTTTTCTTGCGAGACTTGGTAGATTTGATCCCTGCAAGGAGACAGAAAAAAAGCTTAATGAAATGGACATAAACTAGTTTGTAGAATCAAACGCAATCACGTTGGAACGTCAATTGCTCTGATCAACGGATTCAGTAGATTACTTGTTCATTTCCAGGAGAATAGATCATGCACAGCGCCTGTTTTTTTGTCCCGATTTTCTTCCTTTCAGTTCTACCATCCTTGGGTAAATGTGACCTGTACCATGTCGAAGTGACCGGCAAATGCCGGCAGGGAAGGAAGCCAACATCCGAAAAAGTTTGAATACGATTGACAACTAAAACAAAATAAAAATCAAACTCAGGTATATGTTGAAAAAAAGTGCAGCTTCGGAGACTCGAGTGCAGACAATTCCAGCGCGCAAAGCCCCTTCCCCGTCTCGCAGTTATTTCTTGTGCGATCGCAAACTTCCGGGCGAAAGAGCTCTCGAGACGCCCAAGTAGCCGCTGGCGCTCGCGCCGCGGGGCCACTCGATGCCCCTGATCGCAGCAGGCAACTTCGCTAGTTGGGCGTAGCGGACGACGAGAGGTACAGCCAACCGAGAACCGCTAGCGGTTAGAGGATACAGACTTAAAGCCTTATAGCGGGTTTAAAACCGATCGAAGCTGTGGATTTTTAAGGAAGAAATAGTTGTTCGTTCGCCATCCTTCGGAAGGGAAGTAAGGCCTACAGTCCCATGTTGTAGATTTACTACATATAAAATATTCTGATGCCTAAAAAATCATCTCAGCTAAATAATATGTCTTATTTAGCCGCCCGAGTGATATCTTCTTTCTCTGCTAGATAGAGTGGCGAAGTTTTCGAGGTTAGATGGGAGAGCAAGTTTGATAGCCTGAGCCTCGCCTCGAAAATTAAGCATCATTAAATTGAATGAAAAGATGACAATCGGGCAGTAAGCGGTTATGGAAAGAAATAATTAAACATGGTAGATAAAGAGGTTGGGAGATAAAAGTGAAAATAATATATTATGAAAAGAAGAAGGATGCAAATGAAAAAAATCAAAAGGTAATAAACACATTGGTGACAAGCGGGAGAAGTTTCGTTACATGTATTGCATTTTAATACTATCTAATGACACAGTGAAATATGTAGAGATGGGCATTTGAAGGCACAAGGATGCGTCTCCACGCTCTGCGTAAAGGCAGAGGGGTGCTGTGCCGGGACCGAATACCTGGACCCTAGGACTTTACCATGATAACAGGAAAGAGAGTTCAACCGAAAGGGGAGCATAAGGCTTCCGAAGGCGGGCTACCGTCTACAAGTGACACTGAGTAGACAGTCTTCAGATCTGTTTCAGACGTTCATATTTCATCTGCGGCTCATGGAAGTTAATTATGATCATAGTATAGTAAAGTATCTTCTTACCATATTATATTGACGTGTTGACAGAGTAAGGGGATCTATACTTGGGGCTAGGAGGAATACACAACCATTCGGTCATCATTTTGTCAAAAGGGAACATATGAAGTGAAAAGGGAACAATAGATGGTACACGAAGAATCCAAAGTACTATTTTAGAAAACACTGAAGCGTGATATATTTTATAACTGTTAAGAGAGATGCTGACGAATGATAATTTAATAGTTATTGGTCTAAATTCATATTGAAATGCAATATGCGATATTTGCTTTGGTATACTCGCCATAGAGATCCAGAGAGTTCGCCGCGGGAGCCTGGGAGAGACACGGATGGGCGGGCATTGGTGTGACGATCCAGTAGGTCAGGTACCGACGAAAATCGATGACATCCTGAGAGGGCTTTAATAGGGACAGATTGAAGTTGTTGGCGGCACAGAAAAAAAGATAGGGAAGAAAACACTGTGAGAGAGAAAAATAATAAAATGAAAGAATCCAATAAAAAGGACGTGATGGGAAGGGATAGAATTTATCGAAATGAAAACGTATTCTGGCAGAAGAAGTTTAGCTCTGAGTAGTAAAAGATAATTAGAGTATTGTCAAATAAAAAATAGTCTAGGTTCTTGACTATTCTACATTCAAGACAAAACGGCTGCCCGACACTTTTGGACATTGGGAACATTCCTTGTTGGTCGTACTAGGTTAGAAAAAATGCGGAAATTATGTGCTACTATATGGGCACGCGGAGAATGACTGGTAGTTTTACACGGGCGGAAAATAAAATCAGTTATATGTATTATACTTTTCAATCAAGTTAATACATAAAAGTTAATTTTGCTATTACATATAGGGGATAAGCAGGGTAAGGGGTAAAAGTGGATAGGTTCCAAGCACGTGGTGAGATGGAACGGGATTATGTAATGAAAGGAAATAAAACCTGCTTGAGATAGAAGACAGGCCGACAAGTTGGTGGGTGAGATAGAATGTTATTCCAGAAAGGCCAGACTGCATTATTGGAATGATGGTTTCAGTACTAATGTATTGTGACTATGAAAGTTAAGCAGTTTGCACGAGGATATACCACAGCAAGAGTTCCGCCGTACATTTTTTATTGAATACTCGTATACAAGATAGAAAATTATAATAGCATACATGAAGTTGAGATATTGTAGCCAGCGGGGAAAGATTGCTGAATACAATAAAGCAACAAATAGGCCCTCCTAAGTAAACATGACGCAAACATATTCAATTCAATGAAGCTCAATTTTACGTGACGTGGCTCAGACCATCAGGCCTATTCTTCCGCCGGACCTCTCAAATTTCTCTCCGGTTGTTTCGTCTTAAAGCAAATAAAGAAGATATCCCTCGGGTGGCCTGAGAATAGAATTCACCTGAGAGATTTTCTTTAGGCTAGAGGATTTTTTACATGATGTGAATATAATACATGGGACAGACGGCTTCACTTCACCCCAAAAGGAAGTCACATTATGGAGGTTTTCAAAAGACTTCTATTCCATTTGGACGGATGAACATGAATATAACAATTTCATACGATAACCGTTAAACCACCAAAGATGCTTGGATTGGGATTGAACACGTGGTAAAATAGGAAAAACAATAGTAATGAAAAATGAAAAACAAAAGAAGGACAGGGAACAATAAACGAGCCAAGAATGAATAAAAACTACTGGAAGAAACAGCGTCTGTAAACAATAAGTCGTATGAACAAAATACGAGTAATGTGGCGAAGGCGACAGAAACATCCAATAATTCCACACAATTCAATTCAATTACGACCAAACTAATTTTTACACACGACTTAAGATGTTAATTAAAAAACCTTAATGACGTAATATCAAAAACGTTGCATTTTGAAACGATCACAATCATAATGAACTATAACCTGCAACTACAAGGAGTCAATAAGTATGAAAGAGGGGTGAAGAATGAGAATGGAGATCAGAATCATACAAGGATTCAAAACGCTGAATGGCCAAAACGCCGAAGAGAAATTCGCCAGGAAACGGACCTCCCAACGCTTTTGCTGACACTGCCTGTCAGGGCGAAGGTGTTTTCCGGGAAGGCAACGCGAGTGGAAACGACGGTAGAGGGACGACAAGGGAGGAGCTGCGAGGACCTCCTGCGTCAACTGCCGACGATCTCGAGGCGCCCTCTAGCGCCGCCTGCGCTCAAGGGGCGCAGAGGGACAAACTTCCGGACGCGAGATTCGGCGGAGGGGAACTTTGACGTCACGGCGCGCCCGAAGCTCCACTTCGCCCCGACGCCGCGCAGCGCCGCCAAGCGGCAACATTCTAAAACACACGGCCCCTGCGAGGTCGTGTTAAAATGCCGTTTAAAAATGTACCGAATTTAAAATTTAGAACTGACACGGACTTTGTTATCTAAGGTTAATCAAATCATGATAGGTATAAATCATACAGAAGAGGGATTTTAAAACTAATCGTTTATCGTGTAAAGAAAGTACCCACCTAAAAATTTTACTTCTTAGGCAATGAACATAGCTATTAAAAACTTCCTTGGAAAGGTATGGTCCAAAGTTTAAGTGTTCTAAATAATCTTTTACTTTTTTGTAACTATGTAATCTTGGGAAGGTATTTAAGAAAATAGCACTTGTGACATATGTCGTTTCATTCTGCGACGGCGTTCCCAGAACTTCACTCTTGGGTAGATTTGGATGGGATTATTTTCATCTAAGATTAAAAACTGCTTCATAGCAGTTTAATTTAGTGTAGCGGAATTAATTTGGTTCAACGAAAGAGAGGGAGTCCTTGCTCTGATAAATATTAGCATTTATTATACCTCTACGAATTCTAATACAAACTAAATATTGAATGAGTTTTACATGAACAATTATAAATTCCAACAATATTAACACCAATGATGTACACTCGTGGAAACAATAGTTCTGGGTGACGACAGTGATATCTAAAGACTATTTTCAAAACTACGTTCTCTAGACCGAACTATAAAATTTAAATTTGTTTTATTGACCAGCGTTTATTTTAACGTCCATTGAGAGCAAAATACTAGTAGTATAGACGTAAAAGGATACCGTAATTTCTGTCCATGAAACTGAATTGTCATTAATACATGTATACGTGATGTTGCTTTTATGTTTCGATGATATAAATGTATTGTTATAAGAGGAAAGCTAGGGCAGTGAATGGATGATCGTCCTAGAACGTGGTAAAATAATATTAATAGCGACATGATGAGCACAACGAACTGCTACAGTTTATATACAAATGGTTTTGTTGTATTTCAGCATTATAAATGACCTTTTCCGTTACAACAAATCGTTCATAAAATGACATTTCATGGCACGGATTATAACGCATTTGCCGTGCGTGACACGAATAATTGCGTTATCACACATTCCGCCTATCCCAGGAAGAGAACTGTGGGGAGGCAGCAGTAAACCGAACAACCCGCTACTGTTTTTCTCGTGTCCATTAATGCACGTGACGTTACAACGAAATTGTTTCCAAAAATTAACTTTCATCGTCTTGTAAATTTATATCGCCGTTATACTCAAAATAACTTCTGCAATTCGTTTTTCATGTTAATTTATTGCACTCGTATTGTTAGAACTCGCCGCAATTCTTAACATTTAAATTTATATATTACGTATTTGCACACTCACGGACACGAGTCGGGTACGTTTTACCATTAATATTTCATGTACTATGCGTTTCGTGAGTTTCCAACATTGTCAGATAGCACGTCGCTTTCAGACAGTGTCCTTGTGAAACATGCGTTTTCTCCCCTCCCGGGTACCGGCAGTCCAGCATACCCCAACGTTTATGCAACGTCAATGACTGCATCCTAGACATTTAACTAAACATTAGCTCTATAAAAGTCATTATAGTTCACAGCATTCAAATTCACATGCAACCATGTAACTCTTTTGATTATAAGTTAATTACAAGTGAATGTCTTATTAAAACATTCTGTAATAGATTCAATTTGATTGGCGGAGACCAGGCAGTGTCCGCATCAATCGCCGGCGATGTCCGGCTCCCAACGGCCTTCCAGTCGAGCTCTGATCTCGCAATAAGCCACGTCTTCGGTGAGTTGCTCCATGAATCTTTCCATTTTTTTCAGATAATATGTGGTAATGGTGAATTTCATAGATTACAATGCATTGTGAGTCTATCCATGCTGAGCTTATACTATTTATGGACACTCAAGTGCTGTTCTTCCATCATAAACGATTGTTTTGTCGTGTATTGTACGAGATTTCGTCAAACACGGCAACAAGACATTTCTAATGTGCAACATAATATCCTCTTCCGCGACATTTAAAGTGACATTGCATTCTTGGTGGTCATGGTTGTGGAATTCGTGAACTTGTGTTGTTTCTCAACAGTAAATCGCTACAATATTGCGTGGTGATTCTAGTAAAATATTCATATTGCAACAGTGTTCCTGACGGTACAATTCCTAACTATGATAGTACAGTATGCTAGTTAAACTATGCCCGTCATGTGTTATGCGTGGCAGTGATGGCAATCTGTTGAATGTTCCTTCGTCGAAAATATGCTACTCACTGCTACTTGTACGTCGCAGTAGCAACCTCGCAATTGTTAGTGGTCACAGGCCTCCCACAGGCCGCCCTACAGGCGGGTGACGATACGCGCCTTCGCGCAGACACAGGTGTCAAGTGCCTGCACAGTGCATCACATCACGGATTTCTCTGTACACAGTAGGTTATGCCTTCTTCATTTACAGCACTAGTGCAACAAGTTGTGTTGTGGCTTTAGCATTATTATGTTTGTGTTAATTGTAAAGTGCATCGACTTTAATTAGTCTCCTAGCTGCATATGCCTTCAGCTACTACCATTATTTAAACATTTTCAAGAGAAAATGCAATTGCATAGTTGCAACTATATGTATTCTGTTAGTTAGTATTAATTATATGTTTGTCTGTTCACTCAGTTCATCTCTACTGCATTCTCCCAAAGTAATAGTGACATACCCTGCAGATATTCACATTTACAGGCAATGTGTCCGCGCTGCATTTTTTTCGCGGTGGTCTTCCGAGTTTAGAAACATGCTATCAAAGGTAAGTGGGAGGGGTTAAGTTAATTCGACACTTTGTCTTTTCAGTTCACAGCCTCTCAATCAACCCCCTATCGCGTGTAAATTTTAAACTCGCTCCTAAGGTCGCCAAAACATATAGTAGTTAGCCGTAGTAAAGCCTAACATTATAAAGTAGTTGCATAATACATCATTTAAGCGCACCTTACGCAAAACACGATGGTGTGCTTTTGGTGATAAGAGGTTTAGTGTATTGAGCTGTTACAGCCAGATTTGTGCATTGTTAATTGCGAACAAATTGTTCGTACACATTCGTTTGGAGGGGAAATTAACCCCGCAGTCCCAAGTTGTATATTTACAGCGCATAAAAGAACCTTGAGCCCAAAAGAAAAAGGTGAAAGGAGCGTAGCGAAATTGGCATAGTCATATGGAACAGCAGGCCTGGGTGTCGTCATGTAAAATAAGGTATCATTGAATTGAATTGTTTGAACATGAATTGAATTGAATTGAATGGAATTGAATTGAACACGGTTTCTTGTTTTTGTTTTCAGTGTGCGGATCAGTTTTTTTATTCCTACAGTGTGCAAAATATTACACAGCGAAATATTACATTTTTTACACGTCATGTACACGGTGTGTTAAAAAACAATATTTGCATCATGAACGCGAGATGGTTCGCGGAACTTACTGTATTTAGATATTTATACAACTCTCGCATTTTCACATTCCACATACCTCTTTCATTTAATAAAGACACGGAAATCGACACATGAAATATTAAATCATTCTTTGAAGAAGAATATAGTAACTATATAATACATAATATCATCGTGGAAGTAAATTACATGAGTTTTGTTAAAACGTCATATGTTACATTTTACATGGAAGTACGTAATTTAAAATAACATAATTATTGCTACAATATTATCTAAATGCTTCTTACGTGAGTTCAAGTGGATTTTCCCAAAAATGTCTAGACTTTCACCGAGATATCGTTTATCCAAAACTTTTCTTCTTAAAAAAATTCTAGGCCAACTACTGGGTATAAATGTCTGAAGGGAACGATATAAATCTATGAAAATCGCTTTATCCAATCCAGTCACTCGAGTTAGCCCACTTGCAATCACGAATTTCCTAGGAGCACCTGCGCCCTGTCCAGCTTCATTCAAGCTCTCTCTTAACCTCCAGATATAAGCGACGGAAGCATTGGCATTGACGTGGCGAGAGAAGGCTTTCGCCGGTGGAGGCGAAAGTGTAGGAATAGGCGGTGGATAAGGCGGGGGATGCAGTGAAGATGGAAGAGGCACTGAACAAGGCGCATGCGGAGGAGGCGGAGCAAGCGAGAGGTGGTCGTGAAGGCGGAGGAGGCGCTGAAGACGGAGGAAACGAAAACGGAAGAGTCGGTGAAGGTGGAGGAGGCTGGGAAGATGGAGGAAGTTGTGAAAGCACAGGAGGTGAAGACGAAGAAGGCGGAGGAAACGAAGACGGAAGAGACAGTGAAGGTGGAGGAGGCTAGGAAGATGGATGAAATTGTGAAGGTGGAGGAGGTGGTGAAGAGGAAGACGACGGAGAAATCGATGGAGGAAGAGGCAGTGAAAGTGGAGGAGGCTGGGATGATGGAGGAAGTTGTGAACCCGTAAGAGGCGGTGAAGTCATGGAAGGCAGTGAAAGCGGAGAAAGCGGAGTAAGCAATAAAGATCTAGAATGTGGGGAAGGCGGTGATAGAGGAGGCGATGGAGACATAAAAGTCGGAAGCGCAGAAAGCCGAGAAGACAGAGGACGATGAAAAATCGATGGACGTGGATAATAAGGAGAAGGTGTCAAATGCGTCGGAGGAGGAAGCGTAGAAAGCGTCGGAGACGAGAAGGTAGTGCTTAAGACATAGGCGTAGAAACTGCCAGAACATCGGAAGCGGAGCTGGAAGCAAAGCCAGAGACAGTACACAAGACGGATGCATAAGAGACGGAGAAGCTAGCGTCGTCCAATGAGGCAGACTTGGCAGACCGGAGATGGCAGTGGCGGCTGTCACAAACGCACGTTGCACCTGTCGCCCGACGCGACGTGACGCGAGGCGGCGCGGCGTCTGCCTGTCCGCTGGCCCGTCGGCGGGGGCGGTGGGCGGAGCGGCCGGCCGGCAGGCAGGCAGGCAGGGATTTCCCTGCGGAGACGCCGCCGGCGGCGCGCTCTGGCGGCCGCTCGCCGGGCAATCACTCAAATTGACCCGACGGCGGCGACGCCTGGCGGTCTTCCTGCAAAGCACGACCATCGCAACGCGGCAAGGCAGAGATGAAGCGGTAGGGATGCGCGATGGATGCATCGTTTCGAGTAATTGGCACAAGAAATAGGAGTGGACGTAGGTTTTGAAACGAGTACCATTAAAATTACGTTGTCATTTCCTACTTCTTCTTACTATGTGTGACTAGGTACACAATTGAGAAATGTACTTTTTGTACTTAAAATGTACATTAAAATTACATTATTTTTTTATGCTTTACTGCTTCTTATTTTGTGTGATTTGGTACACAATTAATTAGAGTACTTTCTTTGCTTACATTCAAGTATTTTATCAACAAGAACTTCAGATTGGGACTAAAAAAGTAGAACAAATGTTATTCGAGATATCACTTCGAAAATTCCATATGTTTTATTCTTAGTTAGTTGTTTATTGCTGACATTTATGGACACTTACGGCCCCTCACAGTTCACATCCACTAATGCATTTTTGAACGACGCTCTTTCAGCCAAACAACAGTCACAAAACATATACTATTCGCAATGATATTACATTTATTTCTGCAAGAGATATCATTTATAACCAAAATTTAATTCGTATGTTAGGAATAATAATAAACTTATGCATAAAACTTATGACTTTTTTGTTTTAATCATGTATAACCGTAAATCTCATTTTGGAATTAGTCTTTAATTGTGAAAATGTATATACTTCTTGAAAGAATAGTATCAAATTGAAATAATAATAATAATAATAATAATAATAGTAATAATAATAAGTATTCAATTATATTTTACACGAACATGACACGCACAAAGAGTACTTCGAAAAGTGAAGATAAAATGCAATTATTTATTTCATATTATTGATCAAACTACTCTTATTAAAAAAGTATGAAGAATACTGCAACAACATTGCAGAAAAACATGCTGTATTGGTTCATTTCTTATATACAAATAAATTATTAATGTAATTTCTAGTTTCATTAGCATATCTTCTTTAAATGCATAACAGTTGAATGCAACATACGTAATATTTTCATTTTTATATCTATTTTCATTTTTTGAAAGTGAAGTAATGTGTATTCACTTTTTGCAAATAATGCTAATGAACAGAGTTTCATAATGAAGAGAGAGTTTGCGATTAACAAAACCAGTAAAATTTCAAAATATATTAATCTCTCTGAAATATTAACATAATACTTTTAACAGAATTAATAGTGAATTGATAAACTCATCTCTAATTTTCTTTCTCGGTATCATAAATTAAATGAAATTATCCTTCGCTTTGATAGTTCAATACATTGTGATATTTACTGATTTTCTGATAGAATTGTCTCAATTCTGAACGTCTCGCTATCAATTGAACTAATTGCGGAAGGCAGAAATCCAGCTAAACGCCTGGAAATCAGGACGTAAACACGGTCAGAGAAGTGAATCACGAAATCTCAACTTCATTAGCACAGAGCGCCACCATAATCCTGTGTGCTCTTTGAGTAAACACGGTCAGTCGTAAACACGCGTTAAGTGAAGTGCGAGCCGGAGCTCAGGTGCGGAAATTACGTGGAGTCAAACTCGGGGAAGTCTCAAGGTTCCCCCGACCCGCGCTAACTTCGAGTGCGACAGGTGCCTTTGCGCCCCTCGCCCGCATATCCTCCGCTTGACACAGCGGCGAAGGCGACCTAGTGCAAACTCGACTGCGTTCTAGCCCATGCGTTCGTCCTCATTCTTGCTCTAGCTATTGCTCTCGCTCTTGCCTTCTTGCGTGCTCGCTCTCGTTTTCATTGTCGCTGTCGCTCTCATTTTTGATCTTGTCCTGAACCTCGCTGCTCTCACCTTCACTCTCCCTTCGTTTTCTCCCGCACTCGCGCCCGCACTCGCGCCCGCACTCGCGCCCGCACTCGCGCCCGCACTCGCGCCCGCACTCGCGCCCGCATTCGCCCCCGCCTTGCTCTTACCAGTGTCTTTGCCAAAGCATTAGCCCTCAATCATAAGCACGTATGTGATTCCCAGCCCATTAACGTCTTAGATAATTGTTTCTACCTCCAGGTATCTCGTCGAGTGAGTATGTCAGTGTTACTGAGTGAGTTAGGGAAGAAGATAGGGTAAGGAAAAGGAAGAAAAAATGCGTGCGGTCCATGGCCCGATTATTAGGGTATTCATCCTGCATTCTCATGATAGTGATCGACAAAAACCCGGAAACGTATAGCTGCCGGCCGATAGAATTCTCCGTCAGTCTGTGGATGTATTCAACTCAGCAATAAGCGAGTGACGAACATTCGTTCCTGTTAGGACTCGAGCCTAGGTACCACCCTGTCAGAAATACTGCAGAGATCGCGGTCATGGTAGCACGGTGCTAACTCTGTCCAATTTCCGATATTCCGAGAAACCACTGAAATATACTGATTAAAACAGTGGTCCTCTAAGATTCTCAACCGAGCAATGGTTGACGTCGACCCATTTATTTACCTAGTGTCAAAATTTTGTCAACCTTGGCTCCAGAACCCTTTGAGCTTCTAGTCGCCGCCACTGCAGGAGCAACGCTGTGGCCGCTGAGCTAATAAACTTCATGTCTCCTTTGTCATTGCCTCCGACTGACTGCCTTCAATTCCCTGGTAATAGCTACTAGCCTCGTGGTGGATTATGTGCGCATTTACGCCAAAGTTCACATCATTTGTAACTTCTATTTCTACTCCCTTTGGTTTTTTATCACCTGCACTTGCGTTTCCTTTCTTCCTCGCTTTCGCTTCTTTAATCTTACTATCTGAGAAAATTAATTTATCAATTCCGGTACTATATTTGTTCGAGGAATTCATGAAAATCACTTAATCGATTCGTCATCAGTGAAGCAACCGAGAGATGACGGTACATTTAGTTTCTATAAACAGTTTTTTCTTTCCCCTCCTGACAGTGTCAATGTGTCACAGGTCGTCTTACTTGTGCACAGAAGACGTTTAGTTTAATTATTGGTCGGGTGCTTCCGAGTCCCCATCGGTTACTAGCTTCTTCTTCCTCTCTCTTCCTCCCTGCATCCTCTCAATGGTTTCGTCTCATTCCTACGCGTATACTATATGTAGTCTATTATCATCTACTTTCTATTACATTTACCTTTCTTTTAGTTCCGCCACTTCTCTTTCTCCTGGTCTCTTCCTCCTCCTAGATCCTCACTATTTCACCTCGTACGATTCCCAATCTCATTCACCCTGAGAAGTTTTTCCCTGAAGCAACTCACCCTGTTACGTATTTTTCCGTCGCTCTTTCCACTCTTCGCTTTTGCTTCCGAGTGATATTCTTCTTGTGCACCGTATTTTCTCTTCTCTTTTGCTTCGTCTAATTTGGCACCTACCTTCTAATCTTATTCATTGCCTTCTTCCCATCACCATCAACTCTCATTTTTTACCGTCACATAATTCTCACTCCTTCCCGTCTTTCCACGCTTACTTTTGCGTGTAGTGTAACTGCTTGGTGCTATCCCTTCCTCGCCAGTATTTCTTCTTCAGTTCATTTGTGTCATTGAATATCGAACACCGTCTAAAAGTTCACTTACCTACTACCAATCACCATCAGTTCGTTCTTTCATCTCCATACCGCCGTCTTTAAGCATCTCGCCATCTGCTCTTAATCGTGATCCTCTGCTCTTTGTCCCCAGTGCAGCGCCTCGTGTGCCGCCGAGTCCTTGACCGTAACCTGCAAGCGGATGCGGTTTCGTCGCGTCGGTTCTCTTCTCGCTCGATTGTCTCGCCCGCCCTCTCGCCCGCCCCGTCGCCTGCGCTCTCTCTGCGGCGCTCCCAGGAGCCGATGGATACGGCTGGAGGCTTCTGGGAGCGCGCCGACCGATGAGCACGTGGACCCCATGTTTGCTTAATGCTCCGTCTCAAACTGGAACACGGTTACGGTAGTTAATTAATGCAGTCTCCGCCAATTAGAATGCACACGAACGGCATGGCGAGATGAAACTTAGTATCTAGGAATAGTGGTATTATGCTGAAAGATAGACAATGAATATAATAATGTTTATACTTGACAAATTCCATTTCAATTAAAAATAAAGGTGTATTTTTAAACATAAACATGAAACATTTGTATATATTTATAGGCTTAAATAAAAAGAAAATTCCAAGTTGAGAAGTACAAACAAAGTAAAGCAAATGAGAAAAATCTAGTGGATGATTTACTGTCCATATTTTTCTCAGCTTTCGCAAAATACAAATAAATTGATTCTAGTTATGAACAAGTTTCGGAGTTCTGATATATATTACAACTAAACAAAATCACACAAAATGGTTTTCCAAGATGAAGAAAACACTGCGCACACCCAAAAAATAGAATACTCTCATATAACACTGCAATAAATTAAATATTTTAACTTAATCAATCAAACCAATGTTGCAATATAGTCATAATATGAATGCAATTACTACAACAGCGTTTTACATACAAAGAATATCAAAAAATGCTGTTTCATAACGCATCATCATCTGAGTTGCAAATACTTAATGGCAAAAGGGCCCTTATTTGGGACCTTGCTGTCACAATATCTCAGTCATGCCGTGAATAATGAGCAAGCGTGACAATTCAGTATATTCACGCATGAGAATTGGCGTAATGAGAGAATTAAATATTTTGTTTTTTTGAGTCCAAATCGAAACTTTCATTGCTTTTATATTCGTACAAAACTATTGATACCTGTCAAATAGTTGAAAACTACAGTTTTCTTTCCACTTCTGAACGCATTAGAAAATAGTAATTTATACAATATTTTTCCTTATGTAAATTCCCACTCAATTGTTGCTAAGGAAAGAGATTCCATGATAAAGTGAAAAATGGAAGCATCTGGTTCGATATGTTCAAAACAGAGAGCTGAAATAAAGCATATATGTTAAAATGAGCACATCAGTGTGAATCCATGTACTATCATTTTAAAGGTTTTGTCACTCCAAATTGTTGCTATCATAAATAATGTTATTAATTATGTGGTGACAATACGTGGAACATAGAAGTATTTACGACGATCATTCGTTCATTCACGTAATTTTCATACTCACACACCAAAGAATTTTTGTACATTATGTATACAATTAGTTC